TCTGGGTGCGTCGGAACCTTCCTGCTATTGTTGTTTGGGGCAGCTTGTCCCCTACAGGGCATCCTGTACACCCTGAGACACTCAGCAGCAGCAGCAGCCTCTGCTACCAGGTGCCAGCAGCGCACTCTCCAGCCTACATCAAGGATTGACAAAGTCAGCTGGGAGAAAAGGCACAGAGCTAGGGAGCTCAGAGGCGGGACATGGAGGGGAGTCAGGCAGGTGCACCTGGGTGGTCGGTGCCTTTGGAGGGGATGAAGATGAGGCTCAGGAAGCTGTGGGCTCCTGGCCCTGAGGGCATTCCTTGAGCCCTACTGTCCCCTCCCCTGGGCTCCTCCGGTTCAGCCTGAAATTGTTCCAGGAAAGGATGTGGTCCAAGGAGGAAGGCTGCCTCAAAAGGATTATCAAGCCAATCATGCAGAGGATTGGGTTAACTCAGTGGCTAGAAAACCAGGATGTGTTCTGCTGCTCTCCAGAGCAAGGTGCTTCTTATCTGTCAGTTGGGGACCCCAAGAGGAAGCTCACCTGGTTAAATACAGGTACAAGGCCTTCCTACTAGATTTGAGGCTTCCCCAAACTTGTAACTCATTCAAAGGCACTGGGATAACACGGTGCAGCTGTGCTTCCTGGCAGGAAGATGGCTTTGAAAAGAGACCCTCAGGGCAGATAGTGATGCTCCTTCACACTGCAAATTACATTTTCAAATGGCATCACAGTAAATTAAGCCTGAAAAGGCTGTTTCCTTGGGCCAGTGAATAAGCCTATTCTGTACATGAGGATCCTGGCCATCCCTGCTCTCAAGGTCAGGAGGCCAGAACCCCATCAGTGCCTCCACCTCCTGACCTGAGCTCAGCACTAGGCAGTGCTGCTCACGGCTCTCTGCCGAAGGACGCAGCTATGCCCAGCGAGGCCAGAGACAAGTGCCACTCTCAGGGAGGCAGCAGCTTTCACAGCAAAGCAGATGTTATGAGCTTGGACCAGTGAACCCTTAAAGATCAACTTGGGATAACTGCAGGGATGATGGGAGGCTTCTGGGGCCCAGTTTTCCTGCAGAAGCCTAATACCTCTGCTGCTGAGGCTGGGGTAAATGTATTTTTATCAGTGAAAGAGAAGCCCATTCCCCAGGGCAGGGCTTGGGGGCCCAGTTTCCCAGGGATCTGGAGGAGTTGGCTTCCTGGACCGTGGAGACTGGGACATTTTCTTCCCAGTCACAGGGCATCCTGTTCTGCAGCTCTGCCTCACATTCACCCTGTCCCCCTCCCATTTGGACTCTAGTGAGGGGAGACAGCAGTGCTCCATGTGATCAGGAGCTTGGGAGGCTGCCAGGCTGCACATGCCCAAAGCCCACTATAAGGAAGTTGACCATCAGTTCAGGGAGGCCCTGCAGATGCCTCCTTCCTTCAGAAGAACGGAGAACGCTCTCGTGTAAGAGGGCACTGACAATCTGCTGAGGAAACCCAGGGGCATAATCAAGCCTGAGCACATGAGCTCTCCCTGGGAGCTGTCCGTTGGACACTCACCAGGACCTGGAACCCAGAGACAGAAGTGGACAAAACAGGAGGATTCTGTCTTGGGATTCAGTGTGTCTGAGCAGGAGAAACCCAAAAGTCTCTCTCGCCTAAGCAGTGTGGCATTTGCATATCTTTCAGCATTTTAAGTCACCCTCAGTTAACCACAGTCTGAAAATATTCAATGAAAAATTCCAGCAATAAATAGTGGCAAGTTCTAAGTTGCACAAAGTTCTGTGTACTGTGATGAAAGTTGGCAACTCCTCACAACGTCCCACCGGGGACATGAATTACCCTTTTGTCCACACTGCAGACAAATATGCTGGTCAGCCTCTCTGCATCCAGGCTCCCTCACAAAGATGCTAAGGTCAGAGTACAGGGTCAGGTGATATCTCCTTTCTCCCACCTGTCTGCATATGACTGCAGAACACAGGTGGAACCAGGGCCCAGGCTCTTGCCACAAGCCCTGCTCACAGATTTGTGGCTGGACTGAGTGTGCATCTAGAAGCAGCATACCAAAACAGACATGCATAATGCAAAGCCCTGCCCAGCTCCAGAGTGGCCACCTCCCTATTCTTATGCTGCTGGCCCCACTAGCAACATAAAATGATCATATTAAAGACCTGGGGGTGAAAATCCAAAGTGGAGCACAGGCATGACTGAAATCCACCCAGAGCCAAAAAGGGCACAGGTGGCAGCCCAGCCAAGGTGAGCGCTGGGCCCTGTGAGAGCTACATGCTGGCTGGAGCGTTCTGCCTGACACTGCTTGCTGTCTGGCCTCATCCCTCCAGGCCCAGTTCAGACATGCGAGATGTTGGCCTTCAGGGATTGTTTCTCTCTTGGAACCTAAGATCATCCGAGACCCTTGGTGCTCTTGCACCTTGATTTCCTCCCCAGTAGCATCAATGGTGCAGCTGGCTCCACCGAGGTCATGTCCCCTGTGGCCACTCACATGCCTTACCCCTAGGGGCAGTTGGTGTGGTGAGGCCTCTGCTTTCCCAATAGTTCTGTCTGCTCAAAGTTTGACTCATCTTTTTCAGGGAGTTTGTTTCTTTGGATGATTTCTTCTTTGTCTCTTTCAGCTTTGAAAAGTTGAAAAGACGGAAAAAGCATAAAGAATTTTGTGACCCAAATTAGCAAAGGTTTTCTGTCTTGTTTGTTCTCAGTCCTTGGAAAACAAAGAAGACATGACAGAGGCAGCTGCAGGCTTTTGAACGCCTACAGCTCCTCACCAGCAGCCAGCAGTTTGATTGCATTTTTATAGTCCTTTTTAAACTTTTGCACAGATCACTATTTACATTTATTTTTTATCTGAATTTCTACATAAGTGGCACCAGCTATATCTGGTATTCTGCATCTTCTTTTCACAGTGTGTGAAACTAGCACCAAACCCGTTATTTATATTTTATCCTGCCAGTTTGAATGTTCACATTTAGGCTTTTATTTATCTAAAGTCCCCTCTGAGCTGGAGTACAGGAGGCTCCACAAGGACCTTGGCCCCCAGGTGTGCACCCCCAGCTTCCTGCAAGTGGTGTCTGTTCCGCTTTCTCCCAGTTCTGCCCCACTATTCTCTTTCCCTGTACTGATGTCACATCTCTGCCATTGCTAAATGACATGAATGTGCTATTTCATTAACTTGGACCAAATATGTGTCTTTCCACAGTGCCAGAATTTACTGAATAGCAATAAGTTCACAGACCATACCACTCTCATCAGTGGCATTTCACTGAATACTGGTATGTCACCTGGTAGTCATAAACTGGGCCATCAAAAGTTCTTTTATTCTGAGTTAATTTCTAGTGGTTGTAACACTTGTGTCACACATTTATATATATGTACGTGTGTGTGTGTGTGTGTGTGTGTGTGTGTGTGTTACAAAAAGGCTAGAGAAAGATTAAGGCAGGTAGTCAGATGAGATTAGGAAGCAGCCAAAGAAACTGTTTAGGGCACAGAGCTATCAGAGTGCAGGAACCTAACCTAGGCGCAGGTCCACAGCTTTAGCTTGAGATGTCAGCTTGGAGTGGGCTGTGCATGGCCATCACAGGCAGGAGAAGCTGCACTCCACTAAAGCCCCAAAACAGAGATTTGGAAGTTTATTGCTGTGGTGATTTTCCTGGGCAAGGGTTATGACGAGTGACCAGGTGAGCATGTCAGGGTACTGTTATGTCCAGTCTGGGGGTGCCTGCCCTTCTATGGGTCTTGAGTAAAGAGGTTGCATCATTTGGAGATCTAATGTGTTTGTTCAATGAGCTCATGGGTCTGGTTTTTCCGACATGAGTTTGATACACCCATGTATCCATGTGCTTCTGATTAACTTGATAAATGCAGGGTGATTATTGCAGGGCCTGACCGTGGACCTACATGGAGAAATGCTTATCTCGCTCATTGTGCAGCAGGGAGGTCTAACACAGAACATTATGTTGTGGGACAGAGTGCTGTCAGAACACTGGCTCCTTTGACAAGGAGTTATTCCCCTGTTGGTGCAAGGACAGCCTGCGTGGCAGTTTCTGAACTCTTGGTGTCTGGGCTCCCGTAAGATGATATGTTGTGTATCACTTCTGGCCTATCATGACCGTCACATGTAAATTGGCACATACCCACTATAAAAGCTATTTTTGCTGCGCAATAAAGCAGACGCTCTTCTCTGAAACCATCTCCGGAGGGGTTTCTCCGTGCCCTCAATCTCCCTATAGTCCATGCTGGAAGGGCAGGCCCCTCGGCAGGTGATCATTCTTATCAGCACACTGATTTATCAGTTTTGCCTCATGGTTGTGCGAGGCAGACAGTCATTGTTTACTTGTACAAAAAGCATATTGAAAAATTCTACCTCAGCACTAAAACTCAAAATGGGATAGCTCTTGGCAAACTACTGCTTTATAAGATAAAGTAACAAAGATTTGGGCACAACCTCAGAGCTGCAGTTCTACACACCATGGAATCACTCAGGACAAGCAGAGCCTGAGAACTGCTGTTCTGCACACCACGGGAACACTCGGGGCAGGTGCGGCCTGAGAACTGCTATTCTACACACCATGGAGTAGAGAACACTATACCTTCACAAAAAGTTTGCTTTCTCATACATTCTCCCAATTTGGCTCCCACAGGCCCCCAGAAAAGTTTTAACTATTTTCCTTGTCAAACCTTTTTTTTTTTTTTTTAAGAGAGAGAATTTTTTAATATTTATTTTTTTAGTTTTCGGTGGACGTGACATCTTTATTTTATTTTTATGTGGTGCTGAGGATGGAACCCAGCACCCCGTGCCTGCCAGGCGAGTGCGTTACCGCTTGAGCCACATCGCCAGCCCTTGTCAAACCTTCTTAACGCTTATATTAAGAAAGGAAATGCTAAACAGAGGAGCAGATAGACTCCGCAGCATCGTCTTTCTCCTGATCGCCATCTGCCTAGTGCCTTTTTCCCATCTGCCCACTGCTTTTCACCTCACATGGCCTTGGCCAACTTCAGCCCACTTCCTACCCCGCCATTGTTCATACTCACAAGGAGGCAGCTCCGCCCTTGGCCTGGCAGGAGGAGGGCAGGGCGGGAGCCCAGAGAGCAGCGTGCTCCAGGACTCAGGCCTGGTTGGCCTCAGAGACAGCTCCCAGGCTTCCCAAGCTTCCCATGGCTGTCCTTCTCCCCAGCCTCTCACGCCAGGCTGCTCAGAGCTGACCACAGACGGTGAAACTGGTGCCAAGCCACAGCTTCGTTCAGACCCTGCTGTCTTCCGAGCATCTCCATTCCTCCTTCTCAATGACCCAGTCCAGGCTCAGGGCAGTGAGGAGTCCTCCGCTGAGTGGTCACATAGTGCCGTGTCCCAGGCAGAGTGGTGCATGGGGTTCCTCCAACACTCAGCCCTGTGCTGGGCGCCCAGGGAGCAGCAGAACCCATTCCCTGACTCCCCTCTTCTCTGAATCCTGCCCTGCTCTTGCCCTCAGGTGGGGAGGTGTGGGGGCAGGAGGCTGGGGCAGTGCCTGGGGCTGCCGGAAACCTGCTGGGCTGAAGCCCTACTCTCTCCTGAGCCTGGCACCTGAGACCCCAGGGACACAGAACTCGGGTTATTCTCCTGGTCTCCCTGTTCCTGGGGACATTTACATAACCAATGCCTCAGCCTCAGGAGAAGACTGCAGTACATTCCCCAATAGAAAACAAGCAGCAGAAAGAAAGTGAGTCGGAAAGGAGCAGGAAAGGCCTGTCAGAAGAGCAGCTGTAACAGCGGGGCTAACATTCTCAAAGACAAGACAGGGGCAGATCTCTCTCATACTGTTTTCTGCAGGTATTTCCCAGAGCTCTGCTTCCAAAGGGTAGCTCTCCAATTACAGCCAGAGATTATTGCCATGGAGTTAGCAGTCACTATCTACTCATTCAAGGCTCTGTAAGGCATCAGTTAGCAACATTGCAGTATCTTATGCGTTTGCCCTTCAATGCCGAGCTCTCTGCTAATTAGAAGTATTTTTCCATGCCTTTTCAACAAAATGGAGATGTTGTTCCAGGCTGCCTAGCCCCTCCCCACCATGTTCCCCGGATTTGTGCCAGGTGAGGAAATATCAGCAGCCACCAGTTCATTTCTTCTGACTTCAGTTCCACTGAGCATAGTTACCAATGCTTCTCTTAAATAATGGAGTGTTCTCTCTAGACACCCTGTTATACCACTGAAGTAGGCCTTAAATTAGGGTCAAGAATGTCTAACTTGGGCTGGGGTTGTAGCTCAGATGTAGAGTGCCTGCCTTGCATGTGTGAGGCACCAGGTTTAAACCTCAGCACCACATAAAAAAATAAATAAAATAAAGGTATTGTTCATCTACAACTCTATATATATAATTATTATTATTTTTAAGAATGTCCACCTTGAAATCCATTGGTCACTAGGAGCAGAGTGGCAGCATTGTCCTGACTCATCTGCACACCTGGCTGGGTGGTAAGAGGTTCAGAGATCACAGCTTCCACCATCCATTCCACTCTCTCTGTTCACTTTGTACCTATTTTCATTTTTAAAAGTTTAAATGGCATCCCACAAACATTGCATACCTTTTCAAACTCAAAATCCACCCTCTCCAAGTGAGTTCCAGCCTGGCTGAGGACAGTGGGTGGCATTTGTGCCACAAGGGAGAGTAGATTCACCTGCTGACAGGTGACAAGAAGGGCCATGTGACTGCCACACCAAACTCAGGAGGAGTGCTGGCGCCCCCTTATCCGTCGAAGCATCACTGTGAGGGAGGCACCACCTGATCCCTGTCTCGGCAGAGAGAAAACTGCAGCCCGGGTCCCAGGCTGGCTGTGAAGACCTGGGCTCTGCTGGGCCGCCTGAGTGGCCTTTACTACTGTCTCGTGGTGGGCTTTTCTAGAGACCCTCACCATCATTGTTCTTATTAACAAGATATTAGCAAAAATTTCTGCAAAGAACTCAATGTGGTTTGAAACTTTCTATTTTCTGTAAGGACTAAGTTGCTCTTTCATGCAAAAGCTAAATATACCAGCACACTTAGTGAAGTACAAAAAATTTAGCACTTCTGCTTTCTTTTATTTAAATTTTTTTCAGTTGTACCTGAAAACAATCTTTATTTTTTATTTATTTGTTTTATAACATGGTGCTGAGGACTGGACCCAGGGCCTCATGCGTGTAAGGCAAGTGCTGTAACTGAGCCTCAAACCCAACTTCTGCTTTCTATGGTAAAAACTTGTGAAACCTCTGTCCAGCCTAGAAATATGGGACAAAGTGCACTGTTATGTACCCACTGACTGACATGATCCACCCCACTGGGTGTAAAGTTTAAAGAATTTCCAGACTTGGGGTCCAGAGATTTTTAGACAATAGCCATTCTGGACTGCTGCAGCTAATAAGCCCGCTTCCTGCTAGTTCCTCATCTGTCCTGCTGCAGCCTGACCAGCCCCAGGTCCTGATGCTAGACCGTCAGCCTTGGTCTGGCTCCACCATGGGATGTGGCCAGCAGACACACCAGGTTCTGACACCTAGGAGCAGCAGCTTGTGCTGTCACTCTGTCCCCGAGAGCCTGGTTCCCAGGGAGTCACAGGTGAGGGCTGTGGTGACATGGTGGCTAACCCTGCTCAGAGTTCTTGGAATGCAGCCCTCTTCAGCAAGGACAAGGAGCTGACCACCCCAGGGTGGTGCCCAGGACAGTGGGTTCCCCTGAGCACAGGTGTCCATGACGGAACAAGAAGACAGAATTTCATCAGACAAGCTTTGCAAGGCCCAAAGGGTGCTTCCACCCGCCTCGTGCCTTCTCATGGGCAGCTGCTCACCAACTGGAACGAAGGCTCCCGCTTATGCAGGTCACTCAGGAAGACCCGAGGCACTTTCCTGCGGCTGTGAAGGCTCCCATTTGTTGGGATGAAAACCCTCTTTTACCTGAAAATTCCTTGTGAATGCATGCTCAGCATTACTGTGTTCACACAGACCAAAGAGACTACTGCTCAGGAACGTTTCATATTTCTATTTTATTCACCACAAGCACATCTAAGCACAAGGTAAACCAAAAGCCACACATTAAGCACATTTCAGTTTCAGACCAGACTGTAGGAAGGGCGCTCAGGGTCCTGAGGCTTCACTGGGGACTGAGATGGTGCCACGGCTTCTGCCTGGCCTGCAAGGCCTCAGCCCCCCTGGCCATCCCACAGGAGCTGGGGGTAGAATGATCCCGTCTCAAGCAGGCCACCTTGAGTGGGTGGGGCCGTCTGCACAGACCCTGTGAGGTGTGCTCCCGGGCCTCACTGCTGCCTAACATCTGCATGTGCCTCTGCACCCCCAGATGCACAGCTGTGTCTGAGCAGGTTGCGCCTGTCTGCTCTGTGTCTTGAGAATCCCCCTGTGAGGGGGGTGACAGTCCTCCTCGGAAACTCTGGTAACCTACTCACAGTTGATCTTAGGAGTGAGGAGGCTCCACTGCAGATTGGGAAGAAGACCAGTGAGAGTTAGCAGTGGAAGAACTGCTTCCCCTCATCTCTGCCCTATCATATGCTATCAGCCTCATCTCCCAGACAACAGTGAATCCACCAAACCCAGAAAAGCTCCTCTGGAGTCAAGATGAGCAGATAGGAGCTGCTGACATGCCCTCTGTGCACCCTCGTTTCCAACGTGTTTTTTCTTCCCAGGGAATCTGCAATGATATGCTACAAAGGGGAAGGGCGAACACCGACAGACAAATGGACAGGTGTCCCTGCCCCCAGGGCCCATCACTCATGCCAGCAGGGACCCTGGTCGGACAATGTGATGTTCAGTTCTGCTCACTCAGAGTGTCCACCAGTGCAGGCAGAAGTCCACCCCAAGCTCAGGCCAACACCCTGAGTGAACAAGCTGGGCACAGGTCTCCTCCTAGTGTGTCTGTCCCCACCTACAGTGAAAATCTGGACCCTCCACAGCCTCTTGCAGTCCAGGACCTGAGCGTCCCCATCCATGATGAAAGCTTGGATACAGGCCACCAGACATGGCCACTGAGCCCTCACAGCATCTTCCACACTAGGTCAGTGTCCACATGACACCTCTGGATTCCCCATTGTCACCTGATGGTATCAGGCACAAACAGAAGTCAAAGTGCTTCCAGCTCCCCACAGTTTGCATGCAGAGAGCGCTGGTTGGAGTCCCTCTCCACTCCGCATGGTCCCACGTGAAAGCCGGGACATCACTGCAGGTGGCCTAGCCAGCATGGGGTCCTTTTGTCATCACTGCAGGTGGCCTAGCCAGCAT